GAGTTTTTTGGGCGTGTTTATCCCAAACATTTGTACCGTGGCTGCTAAAAATAGTTTTCATATGGGGTTGGCATACTTAGCTCAGAGCTAGATATAGTTGGCCTCTCTTGATTTTTGAATCAATGATTGATTGATTTTACATTTTTGGATTTAACAACTTTGATTTTATGATGTTCCTCTTAGTTGATTTGTTTTCATTGAAAACTCAATTTGCCATGATTCTCATGTTTCTTCTTCTTTCATTTCATTAAATCTATTTTGATCTTTATCGTTTATGCTTGAGACACATTTATCTCAATAATACATTCATATGTGTTCTCATTCTCTTTGTAAGTATGTGAGTGATATTTAGCATTTCATCTATGCCTTGGCTCACATATGTTTGCCATGATCTTCATGTTCAGTATATTCATGAGGCATTTTGATAGGGGGTGAGCCAATCCCTATAATCTTTTTTCTATATGTTATACTTCACCTATGCTTATTGATAGCGGGGAGCTTTCGCTCTACTTAAATTCATTTGTCCCTTTTGATGTTGCTAAGGGGGAGAAATTTGGTGAGTTATATTCTTTCTTGTTTATATGGCATGAACATTATACTTTGCTATATTCATTTCCTTTCATGCATATATCCTTTTTTGCTAAATTGTTTGTCATCATTCAAAAAGGGGGAGTCATTGTTGGCCTCTTTGTTTTGATGCCATGTTTTAACAAACAATTTACCACTAATGTTGTTTGCTTTAGTGTTTGGTATATTTCTATTTATTAATTAAGACAAAACCAACAATGTTGCTGCAGGCATGGATGGAATTTCGAGCCTTAACGATATATTCCAATGGAGTCGTTGGCGGAGTATGTTGGAGCTGAAGCAAGTAATTCAGTTAAGATCAAGGTCAAGCCTTCATCCGTAAGTGTTACCCAAGTCATGCAGCTTATTGAAGGATCAAAGATCTAGCTTGGCGTAACTTACTATTAGTTTTATCATTTTATGTGTGTTAGTACCTTAAGCTCAATTTATCTATACACACACATTTATTGGTCGGGGGGGCCGCGCGGGGGCTTTCCTTTCGTGTATAGTATATATATATATATAATATATATATATATATATATATATATTATTATATATATTATTATATATATATATATATATATATACTATATAGTTATATTATATATATACATAAGTTTATTGGTTTCTATGTATATATATAGTTAATATATTATCACATTGCATGCGTTTTTGCGCGTTTTCATGTTTTGGACATACTTGCAAAATACATGAGTTTTCACAAATAGAAATTCAATTTGAGAAAGTCTTTTTCTAACATGTTTGTTTTCATGTTTATAAATATTTCATAAGTTTCATCAAGTTTGGAATTGATTTGTTATGTTTAATGAAATTTAAAAAATCATGTTTTTCGTTTGTGCATGTTCGTGCATGTTTTACAAAACAGATGAGTTTTCATAAATGGGAAGTGATATTCAAGAAATGCTTTCTTTTACATATTTATCTACATGTTTAGAAACTTTTCTCAAAATTTTACTATTTTTGGAATTGATTTACTATGCCCAATTGATTTTACAAAATCGTGTATGTTAACAGTTTTTCAGAAACTATAAATTTGTGTTCAAATATTTATTTCTCTCAACTGGGAAAATATTTTTCAGAAATTATTTCTCTGACATGTTATTCTACATGTCTAGAACATTCCCACAAAATTTCATAATTTTTGGAGTTCATTTACTATTTTAAATTGATTTTACAAAACAGCTGCGCACTGCTACAGTAACTCCGGTCGACCAGAAATGTCTCTGGACGTTTCTCAGCTTTGCATATGCCTCTCGGTCGACCGTACCGGTCGACCGAAGTACTGTAGCAGCCGACCATTGCTACACTGCAGATTGAGGGATTCATTCTCAATCCCCTTCATCCTCTTCTTTGTGTTCTTAGAGAAGTTTTTCTAACTCTTTTCTCTAGCAATTTCATTATTGATTTTCATATTCTTATTATTGCTAGTTTGTTATTTGAGTTAGATTTTATTTTACTCATTGTTACACACACCCACATTGAGCTTATTGTATCTTTCATTGCATAGTATAGTTGGGTGGTGAGAGATTGTAACCTTGAGTTGTGCTTTAATTGAGTTCTTATCTATTGTAGAGAACAAATTTATATTTGTTACATTGTGAGTGGTGTAAGGTTTTCGGTGAGCTAGAAAACCGAGTGTGTTGTGAAGTTTTCGGTGAACTAGAAAACCGAGGGTGAGGAGTGACGTTGTTCGGTGAGCGTTGAAAACCGCCACTGTGAGGTGTAAACGTTATTCGGGTGAGCGTAGAAAACCCGGTTGTGATAGTGGATTTCTCCCCGGGAGTGGGGAGCGGAGACGTAGGACGGAAGGTCCGAACTCCGTGATCATATTGTGTGTTTGAATGTGCTTTGGCGTTTATTCTTATTTATGCTCATTGCTCATTTCGTCATTGTCTCATTATTTATATGATCCACTATCTAGTTCATATTGTTTACCCATTGTGTTAGTTTATATATCCTTGCATATATATATATAATTTATCATATAGGATATATCTCATTGTTTATATTGCATATTCTTGCACATAACTCTTTGTATATCTATCTTACAAGAATATATTTATTAATTAGTTTTAATTGACATTTAATCGGATTAGATTAGCATAAAACCCTAACCCCCCCCCCCCCTCTAGGGTCTAACATTTTTCTTCTCTCTAGATCTAAGTCTGCTCCTCCTTCCTCCTCTCCTCTCCTCCTCTCTCCTAACTCATTCCTTCCCCCTCTCTCTTTCTCCTTCTTCTATCAAACACCGACATCCCCCTTTGCCACCAATAACCTTAAGTGCATGCTCTGGTCAATTTTTCACTCCTTTCTGCCCGCTAATTTTTCCCGATCTCTCAATCTTTTTCCCCCAAAACTAAAAAAGCCCTAATTTTTCCCGACACTGAAGACAAAGAGGTGGCAAAAAACAAGGCGGAGGAGGCAGTGCTGGACGAGGATGAGGAGGAGCTCGAGGCGGCCGCACGTTCCACAAAACATGCAAGCTATGGTTCGTTTTAAGTCCAATTTAAATCATGTTAAGTTTAATTCAACTTATTTTAAGTCTAAAAACAAGTTAAATTAGAGTTAACATGAACCATGTTAAGTCTAATTCAAATTATTTTAAATCTAATTTCAAGTTAAGTCCAATTTGATTCATGTTAAGTCTAATTTATTTCCTTTTAAATCTAATTTTAATTATATTAAATTCTTTTTAAGTCTAATTTAAATCATGTTAAGTTTGATTCAACTTGTTTTAAGTCTAAAAATAAGTTGAATTAGACTAAACATGAATCAAATTGGACTTAACATGAATCAAATTAAACTTAACATGGAATAAGACTTAAAATAATTTAAATTAGACATGAATTAGTCTTAACATGAATCAAATTAGACTTAACATGTATCAAATTGGACTTAACATGAAATTAAACTTAAAATAATTTGAATTAGACTTAACATGGTTCATGTTAAGTATAATTTAACTTATTTTTAAACTTAAAAACGAAGCATGTTAAGTCTAATTTAACTTATTTTTAGACTTAAAAATAAGTTAAACTAGACTTAACAAGAATCATGTTAAGTCTAATTCAACTTATTTTAATTCTAATTTCTAGTTAAGTCCAATTTGATTCATGTTAAGTCCTATTTGGTTCATGTTAAGTCTAATTTAGTTCGTGTTAAGTTCGGTTTGGTTCGTGTTAAATATAATTTAATTCATTTTACGTTTAATTTAATTCATTTTAAGTCCAATTTAAATTACATTAAGTTTAATTCAACTTTTTTTACGTCTATAAATAAGTTAAATTAGACTTTAACATGAACCATGTTAAGTCTAATTCAAATTATTTTAAGTTTAATTTCATGTTAAGTCCAATTTAATTCATGTTAAGTCTAATTTAACTTCTTTTTAGGCTTAACGTAAGTTGAATTAGGTTTAACATGATTTAAATTAAACTTAAAAAGAATTAAATTAGACTTAATATAAATCAAACTGGACTTAACATGAATCAAATTGGACTTGACATGAATTAAATTGGATTTAACATGAAATTAGACTTAAAACAAGTTGAATTAAACTTAATATGATTTCAATTAAACTTAAAATGAATTTAACATGATTAAAATTAGACTTAAAAAAAATTAAATTAGACTTAACATGATTAAAATTAGACTTAAAAAAATTAAATTAGACTTAACATGAATCAAATTAGACTTAACATAAAATTAGACTTAAAATAATTTGAATTAGACTTAACATGGTTCATGTTAAATCTAATTTAACTCGTTTTTAGACTTAAAACAAGTTGAATTAGACTTAACATGATTTAAATTGGACTTAAAATGAAGTAAATTAAATTTAACACGAATCAAATTGTACTTAACACAAACCAAACTAGACTTAACACGAGCCAAACCTGACTTAAAACGAACCAAACTAGACTTAACATGAACTAAATTAGACTTAACATGAATCAAATTGGGCTTAACATGAATCAAATTAGATTTAACTAGAAGTTTAACTTAAAACAAGTTGAATTAGACTTAACATGAATCATGTTAAGTCTAATTCAACTTATTTTAAGTCTAAAATAAGTTGAATTAGACTTAACATGATTCATATTAAGTCTAAAAAAAGTTAAATTAGACTTAACATGAACCATGTTAAGTCTAATTCAAATTATTTTAAATCTAATTTAATTCATTTTAAGTCCGACTTAACATGATTCATATTAAGTCTAAAAAAAGTTAAATTAGACTTAACATGAACCATGTTAAGTCTAAGACTTAACATGATTCATATTAAGTCTAAAAAAAGTTAAATTAGACTTAACATGAACCATGTTAAGTCTAATTCAAATTATTTTAAATCTTAAGTCTAAAAAAAGTTAAATTAGACTTAACATGAACCATGTTAAGTCTAATTCAAATTATTTTAAATCCAATTTAATTCATTTTAAGTCTAATTTAATTCATGTTAAGTCTAATTCAACTTGTTTTTAGATTTAAAACAAATTGAATTAGACTTAACATGATTTAAATTAGACTTAAAAGGAATTTAACATGATTGAAATTAGACTTAAAAGAAATTAAATTAGACTTAAAAGGAATATTTAAATTAAACTTAAAAGGAATTTAACATGATTGAAATTAGACTTAAAAGAAATTAAATTAGACTTAAAAGGAATTTAACATGATTAAAATTAGACTTAAAAAAAATAAATTAGACTTAACATGAATTAAATTGTACTTAATATGAACAAATTGGACTTAACATGAAATTAGACTTAAAATAATTTGAATGACTTAACACGGTTTATGTTAAGTCTAATTTAACTTATTTTTAGACTTAAAACAAGTTGAATTAGACTAAACATGATTTAAATTAGACTTAAAATGAATTAAATTATATTTAACACAAACCAAACTAGCCTTAACACGAACCAAACTGAACTTAACATGATTCAAATTGGACTTAACTAGAAATTAGACTTCAAATAAGTTGAATTAGACTTAACATGATTCATGTTAAGTATAATTTAACTTGTTTATAGACATATAATATATTGAATTAAACTTAACATGATTCATGTTAAGTCTAAAAACAAGTTAAATTAAACTTAACATGAACCATGTTAAGTCTAATTCAAATTATTCTAAGTGTAATTTCATGTTAGGTCCAATTTGATTCATATTAAGTCTAATGATTCATGTTAAGTTTAATTCAACTTGTTTTTAGACTTAAAACAAGTTGAATTACACTTAACATAATTTAAATTAGACTTAAAAGGAATTTAACATGATTAAAATTAGAGTTAAAAGGAATTAAATTAGACTTAACATGAATTAAATTGGACTTAACATGAATCAAATTGAACTTAACATAAAATTAGACAAAAAATAATTTGAATTAGACTTAAAATGGTTCATGTTAAGTCTAATTTAACTTGTTTTTATACTTAAAACAAGTTGAATTAGACTTAACATGGCTTAAATTGGACTTAAAACGAATTAAATTAGACTTAAAATAAATTAAATTAGATTTATCATGAACCAAACGGGACTTAACACGAACCAAACTGGACTTAACACGAATCAAATTGGATTTAACTAGAAATTAGACTTAAAATAAGTTGAATGAGACTTAACATGATTCATGTTAAGTCTAATTTAACTTATTTTTAGACTTAAAATAAGTTAAATTAGAGCTAACATGGTTCATGTTAAGTCTGAAAATAAGTTAAATTAGACTTAACATGAATTATGTTAAGTTAAATTAGACTTAACATGAACCATGTTAAATCTAATTCAAATTATTTTAAGTATAATTTCATGTTAAGTCTAATTTGATTCATGTCAAGTCCCATGTTAAATCTAATTCAAATTATTTTAACTCTAATTTCATGTTAAGTCTAATTTGATTCGTGTTAAGTCCAATTTGCTTCATATTAAGTCTAATTCAACTTGTTTTTTGACTTAAAACAAATTGAATTAGATTTAACATGATTTATATTAGATTTAAAAAGAATTGAATTAGACTTAACATGAAAAAGAAGAAGACCATGCGACCTTTTAGATTTTACATTCTTTGCCTTCAGTGTCGGGAAAAGTTAGGGATTTTCTTAGTTTTGGGGGAAAAGAAAGAGAGATCAGGGAAAATTAGCGGGAGAAAATGAGCAAAAAATATGATCGGAGCGTGCACGCGAGGTCGGCGGTGGTAAAGGGGGACGTCGGTGTCTGAGAGAAGAAGTAGAAAGAGAGAGGGGGAAGGAAATGGGTTAGGAGGGAGGAGGAGAGGAGAGGAGGAAGGAGGAGTAGACTTGGATCTAGAGAGAAGGAAGAGGGAGGAGGATATGAGGGTATTTTTGGCTTTTATATTTGTTTCTCCCTTTTGTGCTTAGCTGGCATAGAGTAAAGAGCCGAATCACATAAAAAGGGGGCTGAATCACATAATGTGATACTTTTTGGAGCTGAACCACAATGAAAAAAAGTGGAGGGGTCAGGTTACATGAGGTTATTACTTTTGGGGCATTGACACAATTTTCCCATTTCGAAAGATTTGGGGACTAATTTATAAATACTCAAGGATTTGCGGCACAGATTTCAAAATATCAAGACTCGGGGGAGTAATTTCAAAACGTGAAAGATTTGGCGAGCTAATATCAGAAAAAACCAAAATTTTAATATTCTTCCTATCCTTCATCAGGAGCTTTATAAATCAGGTGCACGGAAGATTGGAGTCTTAGGAATTCCTCCTATAGGATCTCTACCATCAAAAAGAACAAGTGCAGGAGGTATAAAAAGGGACAGTGTGCCTCTTTATAATGAAGCCTCCATGATGCTTAACAGAGAGCTATCCTTGGAGATACAAAGGCTTAACAGCAAATTACCCGGATCAAGGATAGTCTATGTAGATATCTACACACCTTTGCTTGATAGGATCTCGAATCCATCTGCCTATGGTAAGATATTCAGTAGCAACTCAATCATTAACCATCTCATACAATTTGCTGGCTCTTATTCATAATTCTTTCATTCCAAGGTTTCGAGGTATCAACATTGGGTTGTTGCGGAACTGGAACTTTTGAGGTCACATTAACATGTAATAAATTGACTGCAGACGTATGCGATGATGTTTCCAAGTATTTATTTTGGGATAGTTATCACCCTACGGAGAGAGCCTACCAGATTTTGGTGACCGAATTGCTACAGAAGTATGGCTCTCTACTTATCTAACAAGCTTCGGCCGGCGCTACTTCTTGTTGCTACTCAATTGGACGTGTTTCTTCTCAAGTGCTGGCTATACATAAGCTAAGCTCCTTTGTGTTGATGTATATCAGGATTGCCTCTTCTTAATCAAAATGCCATGCTCTTCTTGAATCATCTGTATTGTACGCCCTCGTGTAGATTCAATGGTATCCTGGGTTCTCTTCCGGGAGACTTTCAATGAAACTATTCCATTTCTTCTTTAATGAAAAGCTAATTTATATATATATACTTGCTATAAGTTTAGTCACAATCTGTTCTGGGGTGTTAACGGAGCGGATACGACTCGGATATGACACTTACCATATCCATATCCGCTTACCCATCTCGGATACGGATACGGATATACGTCGGTAAGAAAAATTCATATCCATATCCGCCAAAATCGGATATGGTTACGGATATAGATGCGGATATATAAACGGATATGCATGTGGATACAAAAAGGATATTAGAAAACTAGATAGTATTCAGAAAAATATAGTCATGTGATACAAAAAGAGTTCGTTAATATGTTCATTATGATTGAAAAGCTAAGATTAGACATTTTGATCATCAAAATTAATCACAAATCCATAATCTAAGACTCGAAACTATCGTAAGAGTATGACCAATATGTATTCGGATATTTTCGGATACGGATACGGATATTTCACTACAAAACTATATCCGTAACCATATCCTATCGGTTATAGATTTGAGTAACCATATTCGTATCCTAACGGATACGGTTACGGATATTTCCTTGGATACGGATACGGTTTGGCACCCCTAGACGGGAATCAAGCACAATGATGGCTAATTATTTTGGCAATGGTTTGAGCCAAACAACGTGTTGGGCTGTGTAGGTTTCAGGACTTACATCGCATCAATGGTCTTATAGGCCCTAAGCGTGACAGTTTTTGCCGTATGGGAAGCTTTACGGTTAGCTAGTCGACGCCCATATATGCTGATGTTTCACGCTGTTTTTGTGATATCTATCATCCTATGTAAAGCAGTAACTAGATTTTGATGGGAATACATTATTGTTCCTTTCTGCTACAGCATTTTGTTGCAAATTCCTTCTATTTACTTCTTTCCCCTCCTCCAGCTAATGAGAACTCGTGTCTGCAAGCTAGTAGAAGGATTCATTACTCAAAAGGCAATCGTTTGGATGTCCATATAATTTCTCCTTTTCCCTGCTCCTAAGAGCATGTTCGGCAACTGGTCAAAACTAGCTTATAAACCACTTTTATGGCTTATAAGCCACTACAATTTGTTTGGCAACCAGCTTATTTTGGCTTATAAGCTAAAAAAACTCTACTAACCTAGCTTTTTTTTTTTACTTATAAGCCACATAATTTGACCAAGTAAATGACAACTTTTATTGCTCAACATTTTAAACTCGTATAAAATTGGTTTTATTAATTAATTAACAGTCAAATAAATAAATATATACCTTAAATTAAAATTGTAATAGGTTATAAAATATATTTAATTCAAATTATTAAAAACTTTGAATTAATAATGCTCTGATATCTAAATTTAGAGTCATTTTGACAACAATGATAGATTATAATCCACCAAAACTTGTACTTGACATCTTAACTTGACATACCATTTTGCGAGTAAAATTCTAACTTCAGCTTCATCTTCAGCCTAAATTACAGACTGGAGTCAGCCACTTTGGTACAGTTTGATGAGAAAATCTAATAAGTGCACAAATAAGACTTAAGTGCTGTTTTCACAAGATAATTACATGCATTAAACATTGGAGTGAGTTTGGTATTGCTATGAGCTAAGAAAAGAGCAAAGAAAACAACTAATATAATACCTTTCTCTTAGCCCACAAACTTAAACCTATAATGCTTCAAACGATGAACACATCTCCCATTTTGGCAGTGAACAAAGCACCTTGCTAAGGATTAACCATCCTAAGAATCCATTATATTGGTATAATATCAGTTATAAATTAACAAAAACCTAATTAATGACTAGTCAAAAACACCGAAAACAGCATGGTCTCATCACTGAACCCAGCAGAAACAGCGAAGTGATTAACACCTTATTTTCTCTAACCAAAGAATTACAAGAAGAGCTTCTTACTTTAATCATACCACACAAAAATGTATTGTACTGTGATTATGCTTGTATAACGCACCGATATACACTATAAAGTGCCCCAGGCACTAATATACATCTCTTAATATCCAACAGAAGCCTAACATTTTTTACCAACTAAAATGAAAATAATCATTGGGTGTTTTCCCAATTAAACAGCTAATCAAGGTTAACAAGTTTCTGCTTCCTTCTCTTGTAAGAAAACAAAAGGTAATCTAGTCTTTAATAACATCCGACTCCTTGGTAATCAATCTTTCCAAATAAATAACAGCGTAGCGATGTGTTGAAGGACAATCACTGAGAAACTAAGCAAAAATGGGAAGCATTAAGCTAGTGAGAGCTACATCAACTGTATTTTCTCTCCTCATTTTTATGCTTCAAATCCATCAAACCCTAGCCCTAGAAGAAAACAAGACTACCCCTAAGGTCCCGGCTCTTATAGTGTTTGGGGACTCAATTGTGGATCCAGGCAACAACAACGCAATCGAAACTCTAGTGAGGTGTGACTTTCCTCCATATGGGAAGGATTTTGTTGGTCATCTAGCCACCGGGAGGTTTAGCAACGGGAAAGTTCCCTCTGATTTCTTAGGTAAACACCTTAGAACTCGTCTGAATGAAGATTAGGTCTAAGATTGGTTTATGCATAGAAGAGAATGCTTTTAAGGGGTTTTTGAGAGAAATCACATCTAAAACAGGGTGACATGAAAACTACCTTTAAAGTGCAATTAATATAAAAACCACAGTTAAAGGGAGTTCCAGTAGGTTCAGCCAGTTAATGTATACAACATAAAAAGCACCTTCTAAACAAAACTAAAGGCTGCAAAATGAAGATAAAGGAAAAATAGCACTAGTAGAAACCAAGCAAAAATATTGTGAAAAAGGGCACAGCCAAAATTCAATTTTTTGCTGAAAAAGTATACCAAAATTTCAGCATCCCAATTGGGCATAAAGGAGTACTTACCAGCGTATCTCGGGACGAAATTGAGTCCTGAGGAGCTCCTCACTGGTGTAAGCTTCGCATCTGGAGGCTGTGGATATGATCCCCAGACTGCCCTATTAGTGGTAAAATTCCTAATCCAATCATAGCCTATATTATAGGTTAGTTTCCAAGATTTCGTTAACTCCTTATTTTGATATTTCTGATTGCAGTCAGCTTTAAATATGACCGATCAACTAAACCTATTCAAAGAATACAAGGAGAAGGTGAAGATCATTGCTGGAGAAGAAAAAGCAGTAGACATCATCACCAAGAGTATATATTTCATTGCAACAGGAACCGATGATATAGCAAACACCTATTTTACGGCACAAATTCGAAAGTTGGAGTATGATCTTCCTTCCTACATCAAATATTTGGTTCAACAAGCTTCGAGCTTTTACCAGGTAGATCTATCCATTTAGTTGTGCTTCTGATACGCAATGTAGCTTGCAAAATTTAACTAATAATTGGAGTGTATAACTATAAGTTTCATCAATATTTGAGTTTCTGATACTTTTCAGTATTATATGAACTGGAAATAAGTACCAGGTCAATACTAAGGAAAAGCATGATACGTGGTACGTTTAACATAGGGTTAATTGTGGAAACACCCTCTCTATTATGACCCAATTGCAGATAGACCCCCCTTGTACTATTGTCCAATTGCGGATAGACCCCCTAGGTAAAAAAAAAATTCCCCACACTTTTACCCTCGAGCAGTTTATTTGTCACAAAACAATTCTCTCTCTCAAGGTCAAAGAGTAAAATAAAAACAAAATTTGATTCAGGGGGTTGATCTGCGACAATAGAGCTAAAGGGGGTCTACAAAAATTGAGCGTTAATATAGGGTTTAGCCGCTTTAACCTTTAACCTATAACTTTAAGTCACATTTCCTTCCTTATTCAAACAGGAGCTGTATAAATCAGGTGCACGAAAGATTGTCATTCTAGGAGCTCCTCCAATAGGATGTGTACCATCACAGAGAACACTAGCAGGAGGTATAGAAAGGGATTGTGTGCCTCTTTACAATGAAGCCGCCATGATGCTTAATAAAGAGCTAGCCATGGAGATACAAAGGCTTAACAGCACTTTACCAGGATCAATGCTACTCTATATAGATACCTACACACCTTTGCTTGATATGATCTCAAGGCCCTCGGCCTATGGTAATCTATTCTAGAACAACTCAATCTTTAATCAACTTATAGTTTTCTTCACTGCAATTTAATTCCTTTTTTTGTCTTTTTCATTCTAAGGTTTTAAGGTTTCCTCAAAGGGTTGTTGCGGCACAGGAACCTTTGAGGTCACATTAACATGCAATAGTTGGACTACAAACATATGTGATGATGTTTCCGAGTACTTGTTTTGGGATACTTATCATCCTACAGAGAGAGCCTATCAGATTTTGATGACAAAAATGCAACAGAAGTATGGCTCCTACTTCAACTAAATGAAGAATCCTTGGCATCACTCTTACAGCAACACTATTGAATTTGTTTTCTTCTTTAAGTACTACTTACAACAAAAATTATTTTCGAGATGATGTATTGCTCCTCCTGAATCTTCTGTGTTGTGTCCTGTATGCTGGTATATCTGGTTCTCTTCCAAGAGACTTTTTAGTGAAACTTTTCCATTTTTTGAATGAAAAGTTACTATATTACTTTATCCTTAACTATAGCAATCCTAAAATTCAAGGATCAGGGGACTGATTAATATTTGTATCTCAGCACTAAAGCAAGTGTTTACCTAACAGATACAACCACATAAATATTTACAGAAGAAACTAAGGTGTTAGCTAGTTGGAAATGCACATCATCTAACAATTGCCTACCAATTTAAAGAACACGATCTATTGAGCACTCAAACATTTCAAAATGACATTTTCCACTAAGGTCAATTTTTGCGACATGAGATAACCTCTCCTCAAGAGGAGAATTGCATATTATGCTCATTATTCCTTAATTCAATAGTTGCTATTGCTTTTCCCAGCTCCACATAAGGACCAGAAGATCATTCCATACGTCTCCAACTACATAAAAGACATGGTTATTGTCACGCCCCGGGCCCGCGGGCGTGACAAATGGTATCAAAGCAGTTGCCAGCCGAAAGTGTGGAGCTAAGTGCTATGCGGGGCTAAGTGCTACACCGTGTGATTTGGTGGGAGCCACCTCTAGAGCCCGTTGGAGCCACCTCTAGAGTCCACATCGCCCGGTGGTGATACTGGGATGTGCTAATTGTCATGCCACGACGAGGACGTCGCCTTTGTAAGGTGGGGTAAATGTGACATCCCACTGACAGCGACAGCGACATTTGCAAAAAAAAATTAGTCCCACGTCGGTGGGAGAATGACAAATTAAAGGATTTATATAGTGAAAGCTAAAGACTCAAGTGTAACATCGGCTAGTCGATTTTGGCAGTGGTTTGAGCCAAACAGTGCGTTACGCTCGGTGGGTCTCACGGCTTGCACGCACCAACGGGCCCGTGGGCCCGGGGCGTGACAGTTATTAAAATGATAAATTTAAATTTTATGAACTGAATATAGTAACTTTCAAGCTTAAAGAGCAAGTTGTCCAGAATTTTTCTTATGAATTTCAAATGAAGGCTAGCAGTTCATCTGATTGCAATTAGATTCCAAATGCATATACAACACTGAACTGTAGATAAAAGAGGAAGAACAATAGAACGGACTATCATAGAATAATTTCTATTATGTAAATCCCTAAGTTCTCTTAAAGGAGCATTTTGGTGAATCTCGCAAGACGTCAAAAAATTTATCAAATAACTGTTAAAATCAGTACAAGCTGAAACCAAAAAACTGGCTAATGATAATGCCTACTCCCATAGATATCGCTAAGACCGAAGCAGCCCATGTCAGCTTTTCCGTTATCCTAGGAACCCGTTCTTTCAAAGCTTGGCTACAAGAACCTATAAAAACCGTATAACTCCCCATCGCAAGAACAGTTCCGACAAGAAACATACCTAAAAAAGCAGCACCAGCTAATCGTGAAGGAAGAGCAAGCGCCGGCAAAACCATCATTAATGCATCAGGCTGAAGACCATGCACAATTCCAGTGGCAAAAGTCGCAAATCCAATCTTTTTCTTTCCACTTGGTTGAAGATTTAATGGCTCATGTATACTACTCACATCACACTCCCCATTCTCTAAAGCAACACAAGGGGTAGGAACTTCTGAAGCTTCTTTTATCCCCATAGCTCCAATTACAAGTAGAGTTAAGCCAACAACTCTTGTTCCCCATGTTCTAATGATTTCAATGTGAAGGCGATCTTTAAGGAGCAAAAATAGAAGTCCAAAAATTACTTGGCCTGCATCATGGCCACAGCCCCAAAGGGCCCCGACTATAGCACTCTCTACTCTTGTTCGGCCAATAGATAAAGGGGCTAGAGCAGCAAGATGATCAGGGCCAGAGAGAGTGTGTAGGCAACCAGCAAAAAAACCAGTCCAGGCACTGCTTAATAACTCAGATTTAATCAGTTTGCTACCTGTATTGGTTGCGGAGTGAACGGCTGATGCAAATGCTGGTCGTACTAAGATTGACTGGATTATTGTTGTGAGCAGTGCTGACAGGAGAATGAATATGGCAGAAGTAGCAACCTGGAAAGTTTTCGTTTAGAAGAATAACAGAATGATTCGTTATAGGTAAAGTGAAGATAACAGATGACAGGCTATGCATATGGTTTGCATCCTTGATTCATACATCTATTTGTTTGGTCATAATTTATTTATATCATCACCAAATCTGCATTATATATGAACTCCAAAAATTCCTTAGCATATAGATAAAGAAAGGGCAGCGTAAGACCTACTCGGATCTCAATGAATATAAATTCCAAAGAATATTTGTTAAGGCATCCGACGGCAATAGCATAATGGATTAGATAGTCTTTACAGAATTGAGTGAAAAGAGAGGATTCATATAGCCTATACAAAAATTTGGAATAAAAGGTTTGCTGCTGCTGTTGTTGTCAGTCTTAAAACTCAAGTAAGTTACTGGAAAAGTTTAAATATTAGAGGTAGTATATCAAATTTCATCGTGGATTAATTAGTCATTTCGTTCACTTTTATTTATCGGGTTGCTGAACTGGGTCAGGCAGACACCATGAATCAGAATACACGACTTGGGTCACAAATGAAATAGGGTGGAGTGAATTAGGTAAACTTGGACATCACTATCAGTTTCCACTAAAATTTGATTAGAAGGTTTTCTTATACAAGAGTAACATAAAGAAAAATACTATATGCATGACATTATTTCAGACTGCTACTTGTTTGCATTAGTTAGAAAGACGCTATTTGCATGACATTATTGCAGAGTGCTACTTGTTTGCATTAGTTAGAACTCAGCAACGAAAATAGATGTAGTTCTTTGCTTGCCAACTTGCTCATAGTTGCCTTCAGCACAAGAGTAGGAACTCATGTGTGGCTGATATCAAGCTAACTACCAATCCTAGGACTTGACCAATTCTTTTCTAGATATTCTCAGCTAAATCACGCTCCTTATGGAGCTTATTTTATTTGGGAAAGGTTTAAAGAATGCCTATGATGATTTTGTCATTGTACACATCAGGAAACTGATGTCAGCAGAAAGCACGGATCAGAAGGCGATGGCATAAACAACCAAATCAGAGAAGTAAATTAACTCAAGTATAAAGAACTATTACAAAACACAGTTTTAAAAGATTAAGTATCTCTTGCAAAGTACTGTAGAGCCAGTTCCCAGAACAGTGTAGAACAGGCTTCAAATCAGTTAATCGCTTTATATTCCTCGTACAGGAGGCCTCTGATCCTGGTCACAGTACCAAAGGCAGCCTCATTGTATTGTATTTTTCTTATAATTTTCATCTAGCAGGTCCAAGTTTTGTATTTGCAAATCCTTTTAGAATCTAAAATAGAAGCTATTACTTGAAAAAAAATTCTGTTACATGAAATTTATGTTCATGTTCCTTTTCAGATTTCATCAGTGTCTGTATTACACAGACAATCCATCCTTAAAGAATTTGAATTAAGAGTTTTTCCCCCTAGAAACCACCTTAATAATAGGGTAATTATATGGAAACCATCTTTCGATTTCAATTTCTACATAAACCACATTTAAAGTGGGTTTTTATTGCAATCAACCAACTCCTAGTCAAAATTTTCACTAAAACCCAAAATTACTCTTAAAAAACTCACATTCAAGGTACATGACTCATATTTTAGTGTTTAGGTCTTATTAGGATACAACTCACGTACCTTGAACTTGAATTTTTTTAAACTTATTTTTGGTTTTTCAATGTAAATTTGACTGGGAGGTGGTTGATTGCAGTAAAACAACCACTTTAAAGGTGGTTTATGTATAAATTAAAATGGAAAGGTGATTTCCATATAATTACCCTATTTTTAAGGTTGTTAGTCTAAGTGTGTAGACCCAAAGCTGCAATCAAAAAGACGAAGAAAACAGTCAGAAGACTGTGCGGTCGACCGCAGTGGCAGAGCCGGTCGACCGCGTGCACTGCAGGAGACTGAGAAGAAGTTTTCGCTCTGGCCGGTCGACCGGCGTGGTCGCTGCGGTCGACCGATATCGTGCACAAGACCCTATAGGATTTCGTCGTTCTGACCGGTCGACCGACCTTGGCAAAGCGGTCGACCGCGACGCAGATTCGCTGTTTCCTATTTTATCTAGGAATCCTGTTCTGCTGGGGTTTGTTATAAATACCCAAACGTTTCTAGGGTTTGAAAAGAACATCAAAAAGAGAGCTTTTTGGCTGCTAAGAGAGAGAGAATCTCAGAGAGATTAACCCCTTGTTTGAGAGCTTGTATTTTCTTCTTCAATTAATAGAAAGATTGTGTGGTGTGGCTCCCGAGGACGTAGGCACGTTGCCGAACCTCGTTAAATCTGTGTGTTCGTCTCTTTTACTGTTTTTACAAGGTTAGATCTTTATTTGTGGTTTATTCCTACTTTCCTACTTTCAACACAAGGTCCGGAAGGGCAAGGGTTCGATTGATTGTTTCGAATCCCCAACAACTGGTATCAGAGCTTCGTTCAGCAATTTGTGTGAAAGCCATGGCAGAGGAAAGCAAATCAAAGATTGAGAAGTTCGACGGATCGGATTTCGCCTACTGGAAGTCGCAGATGGAGAACTATCTGTACCAGAAGGACTTGTATCGCCCGCTTCTGGGCAAGGAAAAGGAAAAGAAGACGACGGAGTCAGATGGTGATTGGGAGGTACTGGATAGGAAGGCTCTAGGGCAAATCCGGTTGTCGCTCGCCAAATCAGTAGCCCACAATATTCTGAAGGAGAAGACGACGGTGGGGCTTATGGAAGCGCTCGCAAAGATGTACGAGCAACCGTCGGCAGCAAACAAGGTGCATCTAGTCAAAACTCTTTTCAACCTCAAGATGGCAGAAGGACGGTCCTTCACGATGCACCTCAGCGAGTTCAACACGATTGTTGATCAACTTATCTCCGTGGACATCACGTTCGATGACGAAGTGCAGGCCCTTCTACTACTATCGCAGTTGCCGGATAGTTGGGCAGGTTGTGTGACGGCAATCAGCAATTCGGCGGGGAAAGAGAAGTTGAAGCTGAATGAGGTTGTTAGCATGATTCTATCCGAGGAGGTTAGAAGGAAATCGTCCGAATCAGAAGGTTCAGGTTCAGCCCTAAGTTTCGAGCAGAGAGGCAGAAGCCAGAAGAAAGGGAACCAGAACAGGAATCGGTCGAAATCAGTGAAGAAGAGGCCGAACTCGAAGGTTAGGTCTATCAAAGGGAAGTGTTGGAACTGCGGCCAGGAGGGCCATATGTCTTCGGTCTGTAAAGCACCAAAGAAGGATGCGGGTGAGCAGGAGGCTCATATCGTGCAGGATGCCTTGATCCTTGCTATGGATAGCGATTCTGATTCTTGGGTCATCGACTCAGGAGCTTCTTTCCACGCCACTGCAAATAGGAAACTACTTCAGAACTATGTAGCAGGGGACTTTGGTAAAGTATACTTGGGGGATAATGAACCTTGCAATATTGTTGGAAAGGGCGACGTTCAGATACAGATAAAGGGCTCTAAGTGGAATTTGAAGAACGTGAGACACGTACCAAAGCTGAAGAGGAATCTTGTTTCGGTGGGACAGCTTGGAGCAGAAGGCTACGTTTCGACATTCACCGGGGATTCGTGGAGAATCTCCAACGGTACGATGGTTGTTGCCCGAGGCAACAAAACGGGAACTCTCTACCTCACTTCACATGCGAGTGACACCCTCGCAATTGCAGCTGGCAAGGAGAGTACAGATCTGTGGCACAATAGGCTGGGGCACATGAGCGAGAAAGGGATGAAAATTCTACATTCACAAGGAAAGCTAACCGGGATCGACACCGTGGAAGTCGGGGTTTGTGAAGACTGCATCTTTGGGAAGCAGAAGAGGGTTAGTTTCCAGAAGGGTGGAAGGCCACCTAAGGCTCAGAAGCTAGAGTTGATTCATACAGATGTATGGGGCCCAGCCAGTGTGTCTTGGCTGTTCGAGATACTACGTCACCTTTATCGACGATCACTCGAGGAAGGTGTGGGTTTACTTTTATTAATTGTAACTAAAGTTACAATTTTTGGAAGGCCTTCTCAATTAAGAGTAGCCCTCCTCTCCAAAAGGAGTTATAAAAATTTTCACACCCTCAACCCCTCACTCTCTACCCCTATTTATAGTAATCTTCAATGAATATGAGCCATTGGATTTGTCTTGAGCCCCAAACAACAATCTCCACCTTTGAATTTGTTTTTTGTTCTTTTCTAGCCTAAATATAGGAGGCCCAATTGATCCCTTGCATCCAATGGCATTTGATTAAATGCAGCAGTCCAAGGTCCACATTTGATTTTTGAAAATAAAAATCAAGCCCAGTCCGGTCATGAAGCAATTTCCAGCAGCCAAAGAAGGTCCGGCCTATTCAGCTTCATTTGATTTTTAAAAGAATCAACAAGTCCGGCCCATATCCTCATTTACTTGATTAAAATCAACTGCAGCCCATGTCCTCTTGTGCACATGTGAGTTTCAAAACAACTCCAAGTCCGGCCCATAGCATTAAATCCCAAGTCTGCAGCAAATTAAAAGCAAAGTCAGGCATTTGATTTTCAAGTCCAAAGTCCGGTTCTTGATTTCATTGATTTTCAAAAGAAAACTGCAGCAAGGTCCACATCCATTAGATTAAAGCCCATGTCCGGTCCTTCATTTCATTGATTTTCCAAAAGAAAAAACAAACAAGTCCGGCCCATTTTGATTTTTGAAAATCTGCAGCACAAAGTAAAAGAAGTCCGGCCCAAGTTTTGTTTCTCATTTTCCAAACTCAAGTCCATTCAAAACCCAGCTGCAGCAACTTGTCTGGCCATTTCTTCAAAATCAAAGCATCCAAATTGAAGAGCTAGTTAATGGAAATCAACCACAACAATCCGGCCCAACTCAAATGAATGTCCGGTCCAAGTCTGCAGCAGTGATTTTTTTGTGAAAATCCACCAAGTCTGGTCTTCAAAGAAATGATTTCATGGTCCTTTCTCCATTTTAATCAGCAGGTAAGTCTCCGGCCCATGAGTAAATTATTTGTTGATGTGCCATCATTTGCTTGATTTTTTTGTCCAACTATGCATTAGTTCGGTCTTAAAACTCTTTTGCATCCAAGTCCATTTCATTCCACTCTTTACATCCAAGTCCATTCTAACTCTTTGGTGTATATATTTTTTTTAATGGGCTTTGCTATTTGGGCTTCAATCATTTTCCTCTTTTAAGCTTTTGCTTCATGGGCTTCTAAATACTACAAAATAGAGAAGAGAGATTTTTGAGGGGTTTTTACATTTAATAATATTTATTTATATTTTCATTCAATTATGTGCAAACTAATCTAACAATAATTATTAATGGTATATTTATTCATGTAAAATAGATAATGAGGGTATAAAATTGTAATAAAATATGATTATCAGTCTTCTTTTGGCGGTTCGAGATACTACGTCACCTTTATCGACGATCACTCGAGGAAGGTGTGGGTTTACTTCATGAAGCACAAGTCAGAGGTGTTCGAGATCTTCAAGAAGTGGAAGGCCATGGTCGAGAACGAGACAGATCTGAAGGTGAAGTGCTTGAGATCAGATAATGGTGGAGAATACGAGCTGGAGGAGTTCAAGAGGTTCTGTGCTACGAATGGGATTCGCTTAGAGAGGACTACTCCAGGGACGCCGCAGCAGAACGGCATTGCAGAGAGGATGAACAGGACCTTGACAGAGCGTGCGCGGAGCATGCGATTACATGCAGGTCTGCCTAAGACATTTTGGGCGGATGCGGTGCATACGGCAGCATACCTTATTAATCACGGGCCATCAGTTCCATTAGATTTTGGGATTCCAGAGGAGGTTTGGAGTGGAAAGAAGATAAATCTCTCACACTTGCGGGTATTTGGTTGCGTGGCTTATGTTCATATCAGTGACCATGTCAGGGACAAGCTAGAAGCTAAGTCACAGAAGTGCACATTCATTGGATACGGCATTGATGAGTTCGGGTATCGCCTTTGGGATGAGAAGAACAGGAAGATCATCAGGAGCCGGGATGTGATATTCAATGAGGAGGTGATGTACAAGGACAGGGACAATGCCAAGGATAGCCAAAGCAGTGGGAGCAGCACTACGGATACAGGTGGATCCGAGTACATGGATTTGGAGGAACTTCCAGATGGGGGCGACGATGTCAGTTCTGACCGTAGAACGGAGGAGACTACAGGTGCAGAAGCTACTACCCAGGGCGTGGAGCCTAGGAGGTCATCTAGGGTACCCAAACCAAATCCCAAATACCTCTCGTCACTTGATTATCTACTCTTAACAGATAGCGGAGAGCCGGAGTGTTATGAAGAGGCAGTGCAAGTGAGTGAATCTCAGCAGTGGGAGCATGCGATGCAGGAGGAGATGGATTCTCTACTCACTAATGAGACATGGGAGTTAGCCCAGCTACCTGCACAGAAGAAAGCCTTGCACAATAAATGGGTCTACCGGGTCAAGCAGGAGAGTGATGGAAGCAAGAGATTCAAGGCCAGATTAGTAGTGAAAGGGTTTCAACAGCGGGAAGGAGTGGACTACACGGAGATATTTTCCCCTGTTGTGAAACTCACAACCATCAGAGTGGTGTTGAGTTTGGTAGCTGCAGAAGACCTCTTCCTTGAGCAGTTAGATGTGAAGACTGCCTTTCTTCATGGTGACTTGGATGAAGAAATCTACATGAAGCAGCCTGTTGGCTTCATTGAAGAAGGAAAGGAAGAGATGGTGTGCAAGCTCAAGAAGAGCTTATATGGTTTGAAACAGGCTCCGAGACAGTGGTATAAGAAGTTTGATAACTTCATGCAGAACAATGGCTACAGAAGATGCAATTCGGATCATTGCTGTTATTTCAAAAGGTTCGAGTCCAGCTTCATTATTTTGTTATTATATGTTGATGACATGTTGGTAGCAGGACCGTGTTTAGAAGAGATAAACAGTTTGAAGAGGCAGCTAGCAAAGGAATTTGCAATGAAGGATCTGGGTGCAGCGAAGCAGATTCTAGGGATGCGAATCAGTAGAGATGAAGCTGAAGGGACATTGAGTTTGAGCCAAGCTGAATACATTGAGAAGGTACTTCAGAGGTTCAACATGCAGAATGCTAAAGTTGTTAGCACACCCCTTGGAAGTCAGTTCAAGTTATCTGAGGAGCAATCGCCTAAGACAGATGCAGATAGAGAGCATATGAGCAGGGTGCCATATTCTTCAGCCATTGGGAGTCTCATGTACGCGATGGTTTGCACGAGGCCGGACATCGCCCATGCAGTGGGAGTTGTGAGCAGATTTGCAAGCAATCCAGGGAAGCAACATTGGGAGGCCGTGAAGTGGATAATGTGGTACTTGAGAGGGACAAAGGAGGAAGGAGTTGGTGCTGCAGGGATACGTGGATGCGGACTTCGCCGGTGATCATGATACGAGGCGAAGCACCACGGGGTATGTTTATACCTTAGCGTCGACAGCAGTGAGCTGGGTCTCACGTCTGCAGAAGATTGTGACTTTGTCTACAACCGAGGCTGAGTATGTCACGGTGACTGAAGCAAGCAAGGAGATGATCTGGTTGAACGGGTGCTTGGAAGAGTTGGATCTGAAGCAAGGGAGAGGAGTTCTTTATTGTGATAGCCAGAGCGCTATACATCTTGCCAAGAATCCAGTATATCATGCCAAAACGAAGCACATCGACGTTAAATACCATTTTATACGCTCGCTGATCGAGGACGGAAAGTTGCACTTAATAAAGATTTTGGGGAGTCAAAATCCGGCGGACATGTTGACGAAGGCAGTCACCATTGAGAAACTGGAGTTGTGCGCAACTTCAGTTGGCCTTCACGAGTAGAAGACGAAGGCGGAGCCACACTACGAGGATCGGCGCAATCATCGGGATGTTGATTGAAGAAAGAATTTTTCGGGGGAAAAGATACATGCGAAGAAGGGGAGAGTTCGGGGGAACTCATTGCAGGCACTTTGGTCTCCAAGTGGGAGATTGTTAGTCTAAGGTTGTAGACCCAAAGCTGCAATCGAAAAGACGAAGAAAACAGTCAGAAGACTGTGCGGTCGACCGCAGTGGCAGAGCCGGTCGACCGCGTGCACTGCAGGAGACTGAGAAGAAGTTTTCGCTCTGGCCGGTCGACCGGCGTTTCCTGATCTGTTTAGGAATCTGTTTCAACCAGGATTCTATATATACCCCAAACGATTTTAGGGTTTGTAAGACATCAAAAAGAGAGCTTTTTGGCTGCAAAGAGAGAGAGAATCTCAGAGAGATTTACCCCTTGTTTGAGAGCTTGTATTTTCTTCTTCAATTAATAGAAAGATTGTGTGGTGTGGCTCCCGAGGACGTAGGCACGTTGCCGAACCTCGTTAAATCTGTGTGTTCGTCTCTTTTACTGTTTTTACAAGGTTAGATCTTTATTTGTGGTTTATTCCTACTTTCCTACTTTCAACACAAGGTCCGGAAGGGCAAGGGTTCGATTGATTGTTTCGAATCCCCAACAGTGATTTCTTGGTCTTTTCCGGTGGCAGGGTGGGGGTGGGGGGCCTGTTTGAATAATTAAGTTTCATATTCAATCTATTTGCCGTCTTTGCATTGCCAACCAATAAACATATCAACTGGGTAAGTACCATCCTCTTCCACGTCTTCCTCAAGTCATCATCCATTAATTTAGCCCCTTCATGGTACTTCATCTTGATTAAGGACTACCTAACGAAAGAGTGCATGTTGTTCCTCCATACCATAACCCTCTTTTCCTTCTTCCATCCTTCTTTTATTTATCGTTAAACTAAGATCCGATTTTCATAGGCATGAATCTCATAAAGCAAGGAATTCCTATCATAACCACAAAGACCACAGCAATCATGAGTTTAATAGATGCGAGAACATACACCTCCTTTCTCTACAACACAGTTTAGAAGGAATTCCTGCTTTCTGCTGCACCCAACTCCTTATCTGTTTACCTAGAGGGCCCAAAAACCAAAAAATTGTATGTTCCTTCACTCTTTTGTTATTTTTTTTTTTTTTTTTTTGGACTCACCAGCCAAAACCCAGTTCTGAATCTAGCCATCTGATAAATAATAATGATAGTAATAATAATAATAATAAATCCAGCCCTTGCAATAGCAAGCAGGACCCATATTCAAAAAAGCATCAAATGCAACCAAATCGAAAAGAATAAAGCAAAACAAATACACTTGATCAAAAAGAAGAGAAGAAGCAAGATTTGCACCTTTTTTAGGAGGGAAGCAGCCGAATCCGCTGATCTGGGGAATTGGGCACATGAGTAATTCTTAGAATCCTTCTCCTTTGAGAGGAGAGGCGCGAGAGAGGGGGAAGGAGGTCGAGGTGGTGGGCCCCGTTGCTCGGAGGAGAGAGAAGCAGAGATGGGTTTGAGAGGGAGGAGAGAGAGCTTGGGTCTTCCAGAAGAATAGAAAGGGGAGGGAGGGAAGGGGAAGCGAGGCCTTGGGATTAGAGAGGAGGAGGAAGGAGAAGAGATAAGCCTCTCCATTGAAGCTGGGGTTTTTGGAAACAGAGAGAGAGAGAGGGAGAGAGAGAGAATAACGAAATTGGAAAAAGGTAAAGAACCAGGGAGTGTAGAATGAGTGAGGCATTTGCGCTGACTGACTTTAACTTTAATATTTTTTTCATAACCGTAATTTTTCCATATAAGTGGGTAAAACTACTCAATGCAATATTTTTCTAGTGAAAAATACGGTTCATAATTTTAGAGGGGTTTTCTGGTTAAATCTCAAACTTATAGAAAGTTTCCTTCAGAGCCAAGGGGCTTGCCTAGCAGCACATTCAATTAGAAGTTACAACATCGACACGTTGTAACAATAATAAAATGTTCAAAAACAAATCCATGTTTTTAATCAAGGAAAATGATTTAAGGACCCAAAATATGGGACCAAGGGAGGGGACAGGTGAGGTGTCCCCTCCCTATTGCATAATGAGTTGGATTTAACCTGGCATGACGCTTTTTTATTGTTGTTTTGTTGCTGTTGTTGGTATATCCTTGTAATTTCAGTGTTAAATCCATGGCCAAATTTGTCACCTGAGTAATAGACTTTTTATTTTATTTTTTATTTTAGAGTGTTCTAAGTTCTTTCATGATTAGGTGAATCAGGAGGTTTCCTAACTATAATACGTGGAAGCTTGCAATCCGTGGAACATGAAGTAGGTATTTCCACTTTCCTCAATCTAGACAACTTTTTCTCTATGATGACGGTTCATGCTTCCTAATAAAACAACTAATACAAGGAATTAAAGCTAGTGCGAGCCTACCTTTTGTGTTAGCATGATTTTGGAATCATTTTGGGTGGATGTTGGTTTGTTAGAAGTTGTTCAGGACGTGTAATCTTTGTCTCATGCCACGTGTGAAGGTCCACCTTGAGTTTTGGACGTCATACTTTTCCTTTGTCCTACGCCACGTGTGCAGGTCCAGTATGAGTTTCAGATATCACTACTTTTCTATCAGCAAATAAATACATAAAAGAAGAAATGCAACTTTGTGCTACATCAGGGTTAGTACATATCTCATTCGTTTCTTTTTCTTTTTTTTTTTCTTTTCCCCCCACCCTTATTTTTGTTTGTTTGTTTGTTTATGTTAGCTGTTATTTCCTCATCACAGTCAAATCTCATTTCGTTTTCTGTCAATGAAGATTGCACTCAATCACCAAAAGGTCAGAAACTCTTGCTTTGAGATCCATCATAGTGTGAGATTGAATTGCGTTTTCAAATAGGTTTTTCAAGCTGACAATGTGAAGCAGTATTTAGTGAATTAATTAGTATCTTGAAATACCTGAAGTGGCTTCACGAAGAGCTAGCACTTAATATTCGGTGCAATACGCCGTTTCAAGATATTGTCTCACGTTCAAATGTTCAAAATGAAAAAGCCATATCTGGACCGTAAGCGTTAGATTTGTCCAAGGAACAAAATATATATTTATTGGAAGAATTCAACAGAAATCAGCAGAGAAAAGACACAAATACATATCATAGAACGATACAAATTAAGAACGAAGTAAAAAAGCTCATTACTTTCACCTACGAGCTTATATTCCATTAATGGGCACTATTTGCTGATCTGCCACGTTCATCAATACCCATATGCAGCATCTGCAAGATATAAACCCGCATCTTCTATACACCAGATCAAGATGATACAGAAAAAGAAAAGGAAGTCCGAAATAATTTCTCAACGAAGTTTATTCTGCTCTACTGCCTCGCACAATTCATTGATTTTGGTTTCAAAACGATTGAGTCTGATAAGTGCGTTTATAGCAAAGTATAAGAGGCGATTCTTGTATTCTTCTGTGCATTTATGTTGATGATATTAAATTGTTTGGATCTAACATTGGAATAATCAATGAGACTAAGACATTCTTGAGTAGTAAGTTTGAAATGAAGGACATGGGAGTTGCTGACGTGATTCTTGGCCTAAAACTGATAAGATCAGTTGAGGGTATATAGCTATTTCTCAATCTCACTATGTTGAAAAGGTTATTGAGAAATTTGGCTATAAGAATTGCAAACCCGTCAAAACTCTATATAATCATTCAGTAACTCTCTACAAGAATGTAAGTGGAGTCTCTGCATCTCAATTGAGATATGCTCAGATCATTGGAAGCTTAACGTATCTTGCAAATTGTTCGAGACCGGATATATCTTACTCGGTTTCTAAATTAAGTAGATACACTAGCTGTCCAAATAGGACTCATTAGGAGGCCTTGGATAGGATACTTCAGTATCTGTAGGGAATTGTTTCCCTTGCACTGCATTACGGTATATTCCCTCCCGTTATGGAGGGATACAGTGATGCTAGATGGATTGCTATGGGTTCAGGTAGCAATGGTTGTATAGGGTATGTATTTACCTTAGGTGGCGGCACTGTCGCCTAGAGATCTGTCAAACAGTCCATTTTGTCTCGGTCTACGTTTGAGGCAGAACTTTGCGCTTTGGACACTACTGGTTTAGAAGCTGAATGACTTAAGGGACTTATGTCCGAATTGCCCATGATCAGCAAGTCTATTCTTGCAATCTCTGTACATTATGACAATATGACCATAATGGCAAGAATTAAAAGTTTAAAGTATAACCACAAAACTCGAGGTCATATCCAAGTACGGATAAAGACAGTGAAAAAGTTTGTTGATGAAGGGGTAATTACTGTGGACTTTGTCAGGTCCAAGGACAACATAGCAGATCCCTTTACAAAAGGACTAGAGTTGTCGCTAGTTCTTAAATCCAGGTTGATGATGGGACTGAAACCTTACCTTACTCATCGACAGTAGCAACCCAACCTATCTGAGTGGAAATCCCACAAAGTAGGTTCAATGTGGTAACAACAAATTGTTGAGTGAGTTAAACACCTAATCATATATTGATATTATGTATTTGAGTCTATCATCATGTATACCTAAAAGGTGTTGATAACTGCTAGTATAGTAAAAGTGTTTCGACTCTGAATGTGATCAAGTCTTTAAGACAAGATGCAAGCAATGCATCACTGGAGATGCCCAACTATATGAAATAATTGTGTGGCCGCAATTAGAGGAAGGAGGTTATTCCTCGAAATTGTTCATGAAAAGGATAAGAATGCATGACCATACTGCGTCAAACCTAAAGATTGCTTCTATAGCCTATATCGTGTTATTACCAATGAATATCACCACATCAAAGGTTCAAGTTCAAGACTTAGTTTCATTTCATGCATGTGGTGATAAAATTGGATAACTATAGGGAATGTTCAAATCGGAAGATATATTCTCCGAAAGCATGATATGTATAATCTTAATTACTGTCAGCTATGGAATTGTGGGGGTTTGTTGAAATAAATGAATCTTAGAGGTTTTTATGAAAAGATATCATTTAATGATTAGATTCCATAGATAAAAATTAAAATATGTTTGTTTAATAAGTAGTATGTGAGTTTTAGTCCTACATTGGCTAACTGAATGTATTTTAGTTAGTTTAAATTAACACACGTGTTATATATGATACAACAAATGTGTTAATATTATACACTTATGTTGGTATATAAGTAAGCGTACAAGCAAGGGAGCGGGCTCGTGCGAACGGGACCGTGCGCGTGGGGTCAGGCGAATGGGACCGTGCGTGCGGGATCAGGCGAACGGGACCGTGCGTGAGGGATCAGGCGCGCGGGCCGAGCGCGTGCTCTTTTTGTACGTGTTGTCTTTAAACGAGCTTAAACGTTTTGCATGTGCTCACTTAAAACCAGTTAAATGTTGTGTACATTACAAACGTTATAAGGATTGAATAGGTTTTATTGCAGATGTTACAAACATTGTAATATCTGGAATTTAAATCTTTGTCTCCCATGAACCTCATAAAAGGGCTTCTTAGATATACAACATAATCACTAGAAATAGATGGCCTTCTTTCCCTTGAGGGCCTTCTTAATCCAGCCTCTTGATTTTCATCAATAGGAGTTTCATTAGAACTTCAATTTCGTGGGTTGGTTGCTGTTGAATTAGTTGCTCGACAAGATCATCTATTCGATTTCCTTGAAGAATAACCAAATCTATATCTTTATGCAACTCGATTTCCTTATGTGCTTCCTCAAATTCTATCCTACGAGGAAGTACACTCCAACTATGTTCAAAATCCTCAATAAATTTACTATTTCTAGCCTCAACTACTCGTGTAGAGTGTGAAGGACAATAAAATCAATATCTTTTGGAGTTAACTGAATAGCCAATAAAATAACCACTGGTTGTCCTCGGGTCAAGTTTCTTCATGTGTGGATTATAAATCCTCACTTTAACTGGACAATCATTTGAAACACACAGAATAGAAAAACAAAATCTCCTGTCTTCTTCTTCTTTTAATAATTTTGATCATTTGAAACACATAATAGAAAAACGAAATCTCCTGTCTTCTTCTTCTTTTAATAAATTTTGATCATTTGAAAAACACAGAATAGAAAAATAAAATCTCCTATCTTCTTCTTCTTTTAATAATTCTATAAGTTGTTAAGTGTTGTAGGTTCTGGTGAACCGAAAAAGTAGTCGTGGCGTTCACAAGAAGAGAGTGCTTCTTTGGACTGCAGTCATCTCATCCTCGGAAGTATTGTGCAGACCCAACACTACCGTAGGTGGGGCATAATTTCTTCAAGGTCAGTCCTCTGTTAAGAGGGCAATTCAACACTTCTGTAAAGTATTTTAAACTTGAAGTGTATTTAATATTTCTAACTTTCTGCTCTTTTCTTCCTTTCCTATATGGTTTATTCTGTACTTTTTTGGATATGTATTTATGCTTGTTTTTCCCAACAGAATACACTTGGATTCTAAAAGATCGTAAGTTCAAATCTCTAGGAAGAATATTACAAATTACTATTTGCTTAAAACATTGTTAGCTCATAATTGGAAAGGTTAAGGTAAAGTGGTTGTTGATTATAATGTCTCCTTGTCCTATCAACATAATAACTATAGTTGTGTGTAACTCTCTAGATTCATTATTTTTTAGCTTTTCATCATAGTTAATTTGAACAGTTAATTAATTTCGCAGGCAAAATGACAGATAAAAGCATAGGTGATGTGGCTTCAGATGGCTATCATAAATATA